AGTTAGGACCGCAGACGAAGAAACAAAAGCTTCAACGCATGAAGTCAAAATTCTCTCAACCCCGAGAGACTGACATGGGGCGTGCAGGTAGCCGGCTGAGTTGACCATGCGCTAGACTGACCAACCCTCAAAGGGGCGGAAATTGCCACCCCTTCCCCTGCTCCTTTACTATTCCACTTCTTTCCATAAGGAATTCTCCTTCCTCTTTCATTGCCTGCCAACTTCCAATTATATTCCTTTCCAAATTTCAATTCCTTCTCATTCTTATTGTTGGGATCCATTATATTCTTATTGTTGTGATCCATTATATAAATATAAATATATATATATATATATATATTGTATTTGCCTAGGGTTAACCGATTTTTGATGATTCAAGATTTAATTTTGCTGTCTTTGAGGCATTCCTCCCTTCCCAGGGTTGTATCCGACGACAAAAAGGTACCTAGCTGCAACTTGTCAAAAGTGATGAACATCTCAAAAAGTCCGAATGGTGCACCGATTATAGCTCGATCTCGCCGAGATATTTACCTTTGCAACTCCTCTATGCAGTCCTCTGGCCCACCTTCCAACAGCCGCAAGACCTTGTCTGCACCCTCCCAGCAGTCCACACCACCCCTAAGGGTGTCAATTTGGATCAGCAGGTCGGGTTCGGGTCCGACCCGAATAGAGTCAACCCGAACCTGACTTGAATAATAAACGGGCCGAAAACTAAGATCCAAATATGACAAAAACCCGAGCTTGACCCCCTAACCCGAATCCGACCCAAACTTGTGTTTTTATGGTAATGTTTGGGTTTTTGGGTTCAACATGAACCCGACCCGAATAATAAACGGGTCAAATTCTCTGGACCCGAACTCGACTCGAAAAATATTTCAGTTAACTCTAAACCGGATTTTTTGAGTTGTGTTGACGTGTCGAGTCAATTTCTGAAACTCCTAACCACCCCCATCTTCCAACAGTCAAAAGATCTTCCTTACTCCCTTCCATCAAGTCGCACCACCACCAGCATCTTCTAGCAGTAGCAACACCTTCCCTGCTCCCTTCCAGCAAGCCGCACCACACCTAGCATCTCCCAGTTTGTCGCCAAACTTGTTCCCTTCCAGCAGGTCGCTCCCCTCCACCAACACTCCAGGTTGTCACCATACTTCTATGACCAATCTAGCGCTGCCGACACTTGTTGTCGGGCTCCCTGCTAGCAGCTAGACACCATACCATTTTCCTCAGGCACTACCGTGTCCCCTTCTTTTTCGACCGGACCTGTCGACCTCTTGAGAGAGCCATTTATGTGTTTGCTACCATTTTATTTCTTATTTCGTGTTGTTTTTATACTTGCTTGGGGATTTGTCCTTGTTATTTGATAGTTTGCATGTTGGCATTACTTTTATATTGGAGTAATCATTGTAAGGAAGTAAAAACAACTAAGAATTCAGTTTTCTTTAGTGTTACTTGAATCTTAATTTTCTTGGTCCGAGTGAACTCTGGTATCATTTGGTATTTGAACTAGCCCAACCTTGATCATATCCTAGAGTTCCCTAGCATCGACCCTACCCAAGTCACCAAAAGCTTTCTTTTTTCTTTTTTCTCCTTTTCTTTCTTCTTTACTCTCTTTTCTTTCTTTGCTTTACTACCTTCAAAACCCTTTCCAAATCAAACTGTAATCATGCTGTAATGGAGATACGAACAAGACCCGACCCGAGACGAGATACAACTGAAGATTTGTCGCTTACTGGCAAACAATGGGACCCAATGGGAGATTACCCTCAACTGTGATCGAGAATCAAAGTGGAGACGAGGATGAAGATCATAATTCATTCCATGGGGAAGATATGTACGGTGAGGAACACCAACTACGCAGCTTCAAAATTCAATATCGAAGGAGACCGAGGGAGCAACCCACATATTGAGGTCACAAGGATTTCAACATCAAAGTAGATCTGCCAGAGTTTGATGAAGGCATGAATTATGATGATTTTGTCAATTGGACACAATTAATGGAGAGAATCTTCGAATATAAGGATGTGCAAAATGATAAGCGGGTAATGTTGATCGTCATCAAGTTAAAAAGGAATGCCTCCTTATAGTGGAAAAATTTACAGAGATGGAGAAAAAAAAAGACAATGATGAAAACCAAGTGGGAGAAGATGAAGAAAGCCGTGCAGAAGAAATATCTTCCACTCATTACCGTCGGGACATGTTTCTGAAACTCCACAATCTACAACAATGAGACCTTTCAGTGGAGTTCACAATTAAATTCGACCACTCATATAGATGAAATGCGATTTGATACTGTTAGCAATATGGTGTAGTCGCAGCCTTATCGGTGACTTGCGGATGTCGAGACCTTAGCACTTAAAGTGAAAAGACAGCAAAAAAAAAGGCAGGCAGCCACCACCAACCAGACAGCCAGCCACAGTTGACAAAACCAACAAGAGCACACCTCAGGGAGTTGACAAATCTGGTTTAGCTAAGAAGAGAGCCAACCTCAATGAGAAAAAGCTTAATAAGAGTAGCATGCCTGTTACAGTCCCCACTTGAAAATACTTTAGATGTAACGGATCTGGGCACATTGCCTCCAGCTGCCCAACGAGCTTAATCGTGTCTTTTACCAAGCAAGGCGCCGTAGAGGAAGTTAGCGACGTGGAGAAATCAGAAGAATAGGGTGATATGCACCATCTACCACCGAATGAAGGAGAGGCACATGTACAAGTTCAATGAATCCTATAGGCTGAGAATACGAGGGGTCTGCAGCGACTTCATCACAACATATTCCACACCCGCTGCATGTTGAACGAAAAGGTATGCAGCCTCATCATGACTCAGAAACACTCTCATCCATATTCTTTAACATGGATGAAGAAGAACATAGTCAGCATTGACCGAAGGTGTCTAATGAAGTTTTTAATTAGAAACCAGCTACAAGATCATGTGTGGTGTGACATGATCCCCATGGATGTTTGTCGGCTTTTGTTAGAGAGACTGTGACAATTTGGTTGAAGGACTCAGCATGAAGGATTTAGAAACATATTTTTTCACCAAGAATGGGAAGCGCGTCATCCTAATTCCTTTGGCAGAGCCCAAAATCACAGGAGCCCTTATTAGCAAAGCAACATCAGTGGGAACAATTTTAGTGACAATATGGGACGGCAGGATGGAGACACTAGCGCCATACACGGGGCAGGCACAACAGAGAGCACTTCAGAATATCATGATTGAATCTTACTACCGTGGCCACCAACATGCGAAGAGAGTTAAGCTACCCTTACTTCAAGTCGGGTTGAGTTGGTCGTGGATTACTCCTGGAGTATTCAACGACATGGGCGAGACACATAGACTCAGTTCACTTTGGTGGGGAGACCCCAGGAGAACGAATCGATATAAAGATATGCTCACAAGTGGAGGAATCTTTTTCAGTGCTTTGGGATACAGTGCAGCGGATAGTGGAATGCTGTCAGAACCACATATAAAGGAGCAAAAGTTTTGACACATGAAGTGAAAGCTCCCCCAACCCCAGAAAACTGATGTGGGGCGTGCAGGGAGCCAATTGAACTGGCCATGCATTGACATAGCCAAGTGTTGGACCGGTCGACCCTCTGAGAGGCGAGAATTACCGCCCATTCCCCCTCTCCTATCTTATTCCACTTCTTTCCATAGGGTTCTCCTTCCTATTCCATTGCTTATTCCATCTTCGAATTCTAGTCATTTCCAAATTCCAATCCCTTCCTATTCTTATTGCTAAGATCCATTATATATATGTTATGTTTTCCTAGGTTTAACCAATTTTTAATGATTCCAGATTTCAGTTTACTGCATTTGAGGCGTTCTTCCCTTCTGAGGGTTGTATCTGAGGGTGAAGAGGTGCTCTGACTATAACTTGTCCAAGTTGGTGACCATCTCCAAGAGCCTGGGTGGTGCTCCAGCTATAGTTCGACCCTGCTAAAATATTTATCCATACAACTCCCCTTTGCAACGCTCTAGCTCATATCATAGTAGCCAGAAGACTTTCCCTATTCCCACCCAGTAGGCCGTACCACCCCCCCCCCAACAAACATCTTCCTGCAGCTGCAAAACCTTCCCTAATCCCTTCCAACCGGTCGCACCACACCCAACATCTCCCAAGTTGCCGCTGGACTTCCTTGCTCCCTTCCAACAGGCTGCCTCCCCTTCAACACCACTCTGGCTTCCTCCAACACTACCGCGCCCCTTTCCTTCCCAAACGGACCTGCAGCCATCCTCTTGGGAGAGTTTATGTGGTTTAGTTCTTATTTCGTGTTGCTTTTATTCTAATTTGGGGATTCATCCTTGTCATTTAATAGTTTGCAAGTTGGTATTATTTTTATGTTGAGAGTCATAGTTGTAACTTTTAAATTCAACAATAAAATATTTCATCGTTCGGTCATATTTGAGTTAACTCCGGTATCATGTATATTAAAAAATTGAGTTTAACACATCAAACAACACTCAACATGAACAAATGTAAAACGAGGGTTCATAAAGCTGACCTTAAAAAGTTGGGAGCTAATGATGATTGCATTCAATCTAACACCTGTGAAGTCTAAATTTATATGTTATTGATCCTTACCCAAGAGCATTTATTTGGCACCATGTATGAAAATAATTTATAAGCATGAAACATAGTGGTATCAATCACAAAAAATTAATTGAAAAACAATAACAAGGTACTAACCTTAAGCACAAACTGAATCCTATCAGTTGAGTAGTTCGTCAACATCATCTAGATTTGCTATCTTAACATTTGAGTAGTCCAGTGGATATTAAACCATGTTCAGGATTTAACAGTGGCAACAATTATATTAAAAATGTTTATTCTTATTCAGTAAGATATATTTAGATCAAAGTAAATGCACACGTTAACAATCAATCACACATGATTCAGATAAAATAGTACCAGTAAGCAAAAAAAAAACAAAAAAAAAAAAAAAAAAAAACATCATGCATAAGTCAACAATCAATCACACAGGATAAGATAAAAATAGTACCTGTAAACATGACAAAAGAGCATCACACAGCACCATGTTCTCCACTACACAACTAAACAAGGATATTATTAACTGATAGTTTCAAAAATATAATACAGTAACTTGCATTAATTGCATAACATACCCAAGGTACTCATTGCCAACATCTCTTGCATGATACCTTGTGTAGCCCAAACCAGAGTAATCCCACACCTATCGTTATGGTAACATAAGAAAACAGCCGTATTCTTAGACTATCATATTTACGAAAAAGAAAAACAAATAAATAGTGGTTTCTGTATGAAAACCGCATATGTACTTTTAAGAATGAAAGTAATTAAAAAGGTACCATTGAAAGGAAACTAACAGCAAGCAATAGATGCAGATTAATAGAGAAAATATATTGGTTTCATTAATAAATGATATGAATGATAGAAATAATCATAATTATGAAGTTAAGTATACGCTGAGAATGGATAAATTTAAAATTCAAAAAAAAAAAAAAAGAAGTAAATAATAAACTTTCACCTCCACCTGTCAATTAGATGAAATCTCCCTAGCATCTTGGGGCCAAACACATTACATAAGAATTCTGTTGAAAAAAAAGAGAAGTTCTAAAACTAATATCAATGCTATTACATAAAAGCCACTAGGAATTTCACAAAGAAAAGATCAAAGCCATTACATATCTAGCTTTAATCTTGATCACACTGCTTGCATTCTTTGAATAAAAGAAAGAAATTGAAAATATCTCACTTTAAATGCTAATGACAAGCAAAAACCATGAGCATTCAATTGAATTTTTTACCACAAAATTTGGGACAATAGATGATTAAGTAGGTAATAAGATAAGCAGGTCAGGTAATTCAAGGATGTAAACATAACAGATTCATATTCAGAGGAAGAAAAGAAAAGCAACACAGCAGGGTGAGAAGAGGATATGAGCAACAACAGTTTTTAGCATGATTGAGAAGCCCTACATCAACGTCTCCACTCTCTAATTATAGTTATGCGGATTAATTATTAAAGTTAGCAGAATGTATTATTCAAAATTATGGAACTCAATATTTATTAACCTAATTAACACCAAAAGTTAAATACTGGATTAAATAAATTTTCAGGATTACATGCAGTTGAAGGACGTCCATGGCATCAAAAAGACTTATTTGAACAATAGTTTTCTTGTTAATTGAAATGTCAAACACGACTGAGCCTGCCTCTTTCATGATAGATTTGACTAGGATAATTGTTTGCAGCAATAACTTCATATGTTGTGCTATTGGATGTTGCTTGTAATGTATTTCTTAATAATTTTTAATGTTGCAGATTTAACAAACATCCTATACTCCCCCCACCTTGAAATATTAATTAATTAAACGTTTATTAATTATTCATAACATCACCAACCTCCACCGTCCTTGGGAAGCACTTTCAAGGTGTTTGTTGTGTTGTTTTAATATTTTGGTGATGTTATTTCAGTTTATATTATGAATAATTAATAAACTTTAATAACTATTTGTGTTATGAACGTTATTAACTTTAATAACTATTTGCGTGATAAACTTTAATAATAGGGTTTCTTGTATGATTGCATGGATCGAGATGACTAGCAGGGGTGGCGACAGCAAGGAGGGAGTGTTGCACGTTTGGCTGAAGAACAACGGGTTGCGGGGCTGGACAACAGGCTTGGAGAGGCAGGACAGCAGGTTGATCGGTTGGAAAGTGGGTTGGAGGCGGTTGGGGAAGGATCAAAGTGGCAAGCGGCAAAGGGGGAAGGCAAAGAAAGGTTTAGGGAAGATAAAAGAGAGATACAATACCATCTTGGAGTAGGATACAACTGGAATACCATCACCTCCTTGGATACAACCCTAGAACAGGGAAAATGATTCCACACAAGAAATCTGAAGGTAAACACAACAAGCATTGAAAACCCTAGGGCAGCAACCATACATATAAATAGAAGACCTCCCATTGGGCGGCAACCAGGAAAGGCAAGAGGGAGCTTTGGGCGCAATCCCAATATGGCAAGACATAGGTGGAGCAGGGTGTTGGGGTGGGATCCGGCTTTAATGTGCGGTGCGAGTCCAATCGGGCCTGTCTAGACCGCTTCAACCGCCCCTTGTCTGGGCTAGTTCACCCGCAGAGGCAAGACTTGCCGTAGGTAGGGAGGAAGCCCCGCGTAAGTCGTGGGTACGGAGGAAGCTCCATGTCATGGAGTCACTGAAGGTCCCCCCTCAATCACAGAATCTTGGCCACTGAAAATCTTGAATAGCTGTTCTAGAGAGTTTCTCATATCTCTTTTGAAGATTTAACATGGATTACTTGAGTCATGAACTCTTTCAAGATAGTTAACTTAGTCTGTCTAATCAACAATGGATTCTTAACAAACTATTTTTCACACCTATGCTTCAAAATGACAACCCCTTGTATTTCTTTATCTTCAAAATCCCTTAAGAAGATTTTTACAGATAGCCTAATGGGCACAACTTGACTAAAGAAATCAAATACCAAATGAAATGAACTCGGGAAAAACAAAAGAAAGTACCACAGCTTCTGGAAAATTTCAATCTGACAAGCTGGTAATCCTGTCAACCTCTTTCCTAACACTTACTTAAATATGGAAGAATCATATCCAAAAGAGAAAGATGGACTGCAGCGGGAGCAAAAAGAAGAAAACAAACATTTTTAACATGGTTCAAGCATCAACGTCCCCACTCTCTGTTTATAGTTGTAAGCGGTGATCTAATATTGAATGTTAACTAAGGGACTACTTGCAATCATGGGCCTATTTTGCAAAGGAAAAGAAGTCAAGAATGGCGGGAGAGAGACAAGCAATTTAGATAAGAAGAATATTCACTTCGTAGGGTAATTATAATTTAAACTCAAAACTCATTTGATAATTAGCCATATTTTAAATAACTTGAAATCAAAAGAGAGATGATCCAATCCAGAGATGAACATTTCACAATAATTGTGAATCTACTTAAGATCAACTTTAGAGTAATTACCCTCTACCAGAACACAAACCACGTTTGCTTAACCGCGTCATTAATATGATGCTTTTTGTGAAAATAAGCGTAAAATCATTTTCGAGCTTAAGATCACCTTCTTTTTAGCTTATGTGCTATAGCTCTTGTTCTCTTTCATTGTTTGTACCCTAGCTCTTATTCTTGAGCCACAATTTGTGCATGAAGCTAAGAAGAAGCTGATCGAAAGCATATTTTTTTCGTAAAAGGGAGATACCCTCTATTTTCTTCAATTTTTGTGGGCATATTCATTATTTTTTTCGTTTTCAATCAGATTCAACCTTCTTTTATTGGTTTTTCTATACATTTATTTGATTTTGAAGGGATTTAAACCTTGCTAAAGTTGTTTCTATGTTGGTTCGTTCTATTGTCGTATCTGTGAAATATGCTTTTGGCTGGTGTCCTATATGATTCTCTGTGGGTTTCATTTTGCTCTGGAAATATGATCTATATTGCTAGGGGCTCTATTTGTTTTTGAGCCACCTATACGATTCAAAGATTTTCATGGAATCGTTGGTGGCTTGTGGTATAAGAGCTGAAAATTACAATTTTGCAGGTAAAGATTGTTGGTTTTTTTCAGTTATTTGATAGATGTTGTTGCTTGTTAGGGCTTGTGGTATCAGCTGTCGTCCTACTATATTGACAGTTATATGCCTAGGCTTCTTTGTATGTGGGCTTTGCTTGAATTATGTAAAGGGAGATGAAATCTTGTTATTTCCTATTACGGCAAGCAATTACGATCATTGTCTTCTCCTTCTTGAACTTGATTAATGTTGTTGTTTTTCTGTTAGATGGTTCAACCAAACGAGCAATTATTATTAGTAGCCTTATCATTGTCTTCACCTTTTAATTAGTATTATTATCTATCACTAAATTTCTTATTATGGTTTTAATAATAGAGGTCTAAATGGGTAAGACAAGACCATGGGGATCTTTTGACTTGTGCGAAAGAGATGTAAAATTGATTATTTTTATCTTTCTCAAAGAAGTTGAATTGGAAAATAGAACAACAACATATTTTAACAAAGAATGCTGATAGAACATAATTAAAATTTTAAGAAAATGAACTAGAAGAGATCACAATAGAATGCGATTAAAGAAAAAATGGGATCACTAAAAATGATTGAAAATTATAAAAAGATTTAAAGCCATGAGCTACAGGTCTTGGTTGTGATCATATAAAGCGAACTATAGATTTATCGGAAGAATGGTGGAAGGAGAGATTCGAGGTGAATGTCAATTTTTAGTTCTACTACTACACACAATAGTCTTACACCATTTGTAATATGATAATATTTAATGTCAATAACTTTTAGGTCATCTCTAATGCCGAAAAAAAATAAATTTAGTGGCATTGACCCAAAACTAGAAGAGAAGTTAGATCAAATGTTTAGCGGCGTTGTGTTCATTGGTGGTCATGCATGGTCCCCGAGCCAAAGAGAAAACATTGATATAGCCGATCATTTAGATTATAAGCACAAAAAAGACTCAAGTGAAGGGTCGATTCGTAACTTCATCGAACATGTGGGATTCAGTCATTCTGAGCGATAACCTTCTTTAAGGCCTAGAAGTAAGAAAATGAAAAATAATGGTGTTACTTATTTAAGAAATTAGATTTCACAACTAGTAATTGTATGTTATAATGTTTCATCTGGGCCAAACACATCACTTGCACCACTATTTATGCTTGAATTTATTAAAGTACTGGAGGAAACTTAAAAAATTCACGAGAGCACATTATTGTACCTATTTTCCATGAAGTTGTTAGAAAGTCGCACAACTAGAGTTTTTTATGTCAATGACGTCGCAGCATAGGGTTAATTAAATATGTTGACAATTGTGATCGATGAGTGTATTGCTTTACATACATGTCATTTTGCTGTACCCCATTGATGTAATGCCAAACAAGGCACTTTTTCATATTTTTTATATGAGACATATTAATGTCGTGGACATTTTCATTTTTTTTGTTCTTATTACATAAGGATATTGTTGTTTCATGGTTTCTTTTAGATCAACTATGAAAAATTGTAATAGACAGCGTAATAAAAAAATAACTGCAATTGATGTGTTCTTAACATCATATAACGGTGTCAAAAGGATATAAGAGTTAAATTCTAGTTACCCAACGAGATTTCACAACATATTTCATATGAAACAAGAATTTTTTTTATTTATTGGACCTAC